GTGGGTTCACGAATTTTGAAACCCACGTTATAGATGGAGTGAGTGAGTGGGTTCGTTTCTGTAACTTTCCTCAACATTTCTCCTCCTCAAACACACTTTTCTCTCTGTAAAACCTCTTTTTATTCTCTTCAAGTCAAATCTTCAACGAATCTTTTCTGTTTCTACAACCACTATTTCACGCTCTTATTCTCTGTGCCTTTCAATGCAAATTTGAGAAATTTGTAGAGATATGAATCGAAGCATAGTCAAGTACAGTGAACACTGACAGCAAACCACGACGGTGAGGAGAAAGCTACCAGAGATGAATGCCGCCAGACCAAGAGTCGTGAGAATATCGGTAACCGATGCCGAAGCACACTTGTCGGGTTTACGTCATAATTCATTTCGTTTCTCGATCGAACTCGAACCGGTCACGATCGCTTCAGAAGAGGCCCTGTGACTCCTCACCAACAACAACAGAGGACCTATGAAGCAAAGTTGGTAGAGGAAAAGCAAGGTTCAATTCCTAGAGTTTACTGTTCGAAGCTGATTCAGAGATTGCCTCCTCTTCCGCACAATCACCAAGTGAAAAACGGATCTATTAATTGAAAGGAGTTAGCGAAGACGATCAATTTCGCGGCGGCAATAAGTGTGAAGTTGGCCGACATACCACCGGATGATTACTCCTGGAGAAAGTATGGTCAAAAGCCCATCAAAGGTTCCCCACATCCAATGTGTGTGATCCCTCTGTTTTTCTTTTTGAGCACATCAGTGGACTGTTGCACTGTTGTTGTCAAACATAGGTACCAATGGAATACACTATCACACCTATACCCGCGCCCACCAAACGTGGGATTACATATACCAAAATGAAAACATAACAGCCCATAATTGATGTGAGGGCATATTTGTCCCCCACGTAATAATGTAATTCAAAAAATGAGTTATTAGTAAGATATCTCTACTATCATGGACTGCCCAATCAAACAAAATATTCGTGGGACCAAATGGAATACAATTTCGCCATATGGGACTTTCTGATAAATTCCCCTTTATAAGAATATTTTTAAATATTTTAATTTTTTTGTTATGTATTTGGTTACGATTTTGGTGTAAAGTTGTGAAAGTAGTATGGAGTTTCGAGTTATGTGTTTGGTTATGAGTTTTAAAAATAATTTCTTAATTGACTTTTGTTTTATGTGTTTGGTTCCGATGTGAGTGTAGAGTTGTTTTTAAATTTAAAACATTAACATTTTAAATTATTTAAAATTTTTGAATATTTAAATTATTTAAATTTTTCCGATTTAAATTTTTTGAATATTTATTTTAGTTTTTCACTTATTAAATTTTAGATTATTCAAATTATTTAAATATTTATGATTTAAATTTTTTGAATATTTGTTTTGAAAAAAAATTATTTCCTTCGTAGTATTTTCAATTAAAAAATTGATTAATGTTATTTTCTGTTAATAATAATTTTTTTAATTGAATTTTAAAAAGAGTTTGGTTATTAGTGTTGATCAGAATTTTCAATAGTGTGAAAGTAGTATGTTTTGTTATGAGTTATAATAATTTGAATTAAGTTTTGAAAACTCTTTCCAAAACTCATAACCAAACAAATTTTCTTACTTCACATGTCAAATCAAACTTTCAAAACTCAATTCTACACTCAATTCAACACTCTATTAAAAAATCATAACCAAACAAAATTTCTACACTCAAATCATAATTCTACAGCATACAAACTCAAAATACAACTCATACTTTCAAATCATATTTACAAAACTCTACCAAACGCAACCTGCGTTTTGCAGCTACTTCAAAAAAGTGAGGTTTGTTTTTTTAACATAAAAGTCATTTGGGAAGGTTAAAAAAAAATTACTTGTGAAATTACAATTATATTCTCCATGTTGTTTAGGGTTATACATGAGTGAAAATGTAAATTTCTTAAATTGGGTGGAGATAGTCTGGTCATTTTATTATGATGTGACATCATAAATAAATATTAATCAAAAAAGCCAAAAATTACTTTTTATCAACTTTTCAAATCACTTTTTAAAAAAGTCAAAAAGATTAGTTAAAAATTAACTTTTAACTATCTTTTCAAAACACCCCACCTCCATTGCTCAATTCTTACAATTATGATTTTTTTTTTTCTAAGTATTTGCTTGATTTCAATTGTAGCTAATGCAAATTCAAATTCTGTCCCCTCACTTTTGCGCTTATCATTTGAGTCTCATTCAACCTGCATAACAAAATATTTTTTTTATTGATGAAAGTCAATTATTAGTTATTAAATTAGTACTTTTAAAAGTTAACATTTTCACTTTTTACAAAATATCAAGTGTTTGTCTCCTTATTTTAACTCTCTTAATATTGTATTTGGTTGAGGGATTTAGGCTAAGTTTGGCTAACAAAAAAAAGTGTATTTATTTCATCTTTTTATCTTTTTTGGGTCACATCAATCAACATCTTTTCTCTACTTTTTCTACACATAATACAAAAAAAGTCAAAAAGTACACTTATTTAGTTTTTCCAAACTTGGCCTTAGAGAGGGATTTGAAAAAGGAAAGGGAAAAGGAAAATGTGTGTGAAACTATGTAAAATGTAGGTATATTTTATTCACATTTCACCTCCTTTTTCCCTTTTCATTTCCAAATCCCTTCCTAAATTCCTAACCAAACATAGCATAGAAAGAGCTAAATCCATGACCTTCCTATAGGAACTAAACAGTTAAGAAACTCATGGTAACAAATTAGGTTAGCACTTGGATGGCTTCAAATTGTTGGCCAATCCAGCCGGGGAGCCTGCCACTTAAATCCAGATCTAATACCTAATGACCCAAATTAGAACATAAGAAATACGTAAAAGTTTTAATATATGATTAAAATCATCTTAAATATTGTATAGAGTGTATGTAAAATAAATTTAAATTATACAATATTTTAATATGTACATACAAGACTGTTCATTGGTGGACAAAGGGGGACTAGTAGCAGGGGTGTGGCCCTGCAAGGATGAGAAAATTGCATATAGATATATACTACTTCATGTGATGGTATGTAAGCTCTTAGGGATGGCCCCCAACCCAAATTCCAAACTTATTGGCTTAGTGGTTCTTCCAATCTAGAGATTGTATTCATAAAAAGGTTCTGTTATTTTCATTAAGAAATACATAATATAAAGATATTTATAATGTTAATACATTTATTTATTTAAATTTTTTTTACATATTTTTATAGACTTTTACATATTTTAATACATATTTGCATTTTTTAATACTAGCAGTTTGCTTTAATGAATTTTTTTAATTTGTATGCTTGTAGAAGTAAATATTTTAATATAACATACGTATGATGTTTTCGTTAAAAGTAAAATGATTAAAATTTTATTGTCAATTTTAAATGCATTTAATTTAACTTTACATATAATTCCTATGTCCGCCATTGAGACTGTTCGTTATAATTGGACATAATTTGAACTCACAAACACTATGACAAATGCTATAATTTCATAATTTAAATCTTTATATTTATGTACAATGGCAGGATAATTGAGTGTAACAAATACAAATTTATTTTGTTATGCATTTTTATGATATTGTTGGCTACATATTTTGTAAAAGCCAGTTACAGTTCGACACGTGGCATAGTAAGGGTAATAAAGGAAGGTTATTCAAGCCTTTAATCCTGATCGTACACGTGACAATAAACATTGGTCCTCACATGATCCGAGTAACACTAGATCAAATAAACGGGATGCAAGATGACGTGTCTTCAAACGGTTACTCATATTCAAATCTAAGTACAAGAGGGAAGCTCAACTGCCAGTAATGGCATAATGGAGCTACTTGTAAGGAAGCATGACCAGCGATCATGGAGGAGCAGTTCGACAGTTCGAAGTGCAGTTCGAAGGTCATCACTGACGAGTATAAATAGCAGGGTAGCCCCCAGAAAGAGGGACGGACTCAGACCATACAAACCAGTCATTTACTTCATATATTTTCTTTCCAGTCATTTACATTTCCAGTCCTTAAATACCTGTTCTTTAAATACCTGCACTTTAAATACTCGCACTGCACTTCGATTCATAGGAGTAGCTTCAAGTAGATTCAAGTAGATTGCTGTTGTAAACCTCTCCGAGGCTGAGTTCGGACCGTTGTAAGTGTTCATTTTTATGAAATACTTCAATTGTTCTTCATATTACTGTTATTTCTCTTAATTTCTCCTAAGTCAAGCCACCAGTAAAAGTCCTCTTCATTGAGGCTGAAAAGAACTAAAACACAATCGTCTGATAATTGGTTGGCAATTATAATTTCTGTAAGGACTGATTGATCCTTGCTGGCACGCTCACATTCACAAAAATACCCTTCGAAAAGCCAAAAAGCCAACATATAGATATATGTTATGCATTTTTGTTATAAATATTATGTATTTTTCTAGTAAAATTATGATAATTTGTAATTCAAAGCCATATTAAATTGATATTGTTTAATGTAATTTATTTGAATTGCTTGTAACTTTTATATTATGAGAAAAATAGCTTAAAAAAAGATTGATAGACTGTCTAGTGTAATTTTTACATATAATTTATTAGATAAAAATAATTTAAATAAATCGAAGAAAATTAATTTTTTTTAAATGAGTGATACTTTTGAATTCTTTTGTTTTTTTTTTTGGATTATCAACTTATTATTTCCAATAAATTGTACTGTCATTATTGTAGTTTGAATTGGAGATGTTTTTATTTTTATTTTTATTTTTAGGTCTTGTTTGGAAAATTGGCTATTTTAGTAGGTTAAAATTTTTGTGTTTGTGAAGATAGTTGAATTTTTTTTATAGTTGGATGTGATGTTTGTGAGAGAAAAAGTAAAATGATTATAGATTTGATGTAATATTTTGTCTTATTAACTATTTTAATCTGTTTTATCTTTTTGTGAATTTTAGCCTAAAAAGCTCAATTTTAGCCTTAGCCAAACAAGGCCTTAAGGATCCTCAAGCATTTTCCTAAACCAAAAACTATTCAGGTGTTGTGAAGAATTCGGTAACGATATTCCGTGGAGCAGAAGTGAATTGCGTCTCTCTGTCTCACTATTCCCTTCTCTAGAGCTTTCTGTAGTGTGGGTTTTGCTCACAGCTCTTCTTCTTCTTCTACAGTATCAGAAAACAACACAGTGTCTCGCGTTTTTGAAAACATTTGGCTTCGAAATTGTGAGATGCAGCAAGTGTTTTACGGTTCCAAGTAAGGTCGATGACAATGGCGGGTACACGCGTCACATGGAATTGCGCCTCCGACCGATGCTTCCACTTTTTCCCCTGTCTCTCCGATCCCGGTATTTCACTCTTTGTTTATTCATCAAGATGTACACTTTTGTATCTGCAATTTGATGTTTTTGGTTTGTGGGTTTCTAGCTCGGAGATCTTCTCTGTGTTTGAAATTGGCGTTGGTGTTGCTCCATCTGATCTATGTCGGCATTCTCTTCATTTTCGATAAGGATTTGACAGACAAAACTAAGCGAGAACCATGGTATTCATTCACTCCCTCCCTCCCTCCCTCCCTCTATTTTCTTTTTAACCTAAAATTTTGCATCTTTTGGGACTTGGGGAGGCAAAATCCTGTACTGAAACTGGGTCTAGCATAACATGTGGCTTCACTAACTTTGATTAATTGATAAGGAGTTTGTGATTGCTATGCTCCAAGAACGTAGATTTTCTCCCTCCCTCCCCCCTCTATTTTCTTTTTAACCTAAAATTTTGCATCTTTTGGGACTTGGGGAGGCAAAATCCTGTACTGAAACTGGGTCTAGCATAACATGTGGCTTCACTAACTTTGATTAATTGATAAGGAGTTTGTGATTGCTATGCTCCAAGAACGTAGATTTTCAATCCAACATTTGTGTGTTTATTTAATTTTGAGCTCTGTTTACCATTCAAAATTTGATTGTTTAATTTGTTCTATGGAAGATAAAATGTTAGTATAATGAGCTCATAACTCAGTTGGAAGTGAATAAGCGTCATTTGTGTTTCGTTATGTTGGCAAATGGACTGAATTTGGGTAATTGAAGTGGGAACTTACAAGTTGGGAAAAATGTCCAAATGTTATTAAAATCTATATACAACTCAAAAACAGCAAATTTACTTTTTTTCACGGACTATTACAGCTAAAGCCTCATGTATTTAAGATGAACTACGAAATTAATGAAGGTTTTCCTAGCCTGTAAGGTTATACAGGAAACTTTGATGTGAGTTTTTTGAATTCAGCTGAGATCTGACTACTTATTTTTATGTTCCCTTTTTATCTTCCTTAATTTTTTTGTGTTGTACTGATGCATCCAAAATTGTCATATTATACAAGATTCATATGCCAGTGCAGAAGCAAGGCAAGGTTTTTGATAATCAATCTGTTGGACTTGTCTAACATGAGTCCCATTTGATGTGTAAGCCTTCAGACATGATTCTGAACATCTTCCACGACTACGATAAAGACTTGGGAAAAATAATTTTCACTTTATTGAACATCTTAGTTATGTGCACAAATCCTCTCTTGATGACTGACTGGTTTGAATTGTTTTTAATTCTTAATGTTGTTTCTCTCTCAGGTACACAGCAATATATTTATTGTTGTTTGTTGCTACATTGGCTCAATATTTCTTGACCTCTTGTTCCTCTCCTGGGTAAATGTCAATGAATTGCAATTATACTATTATTGCAAACATTTTCAGTCTAGAAGTGCTTGCAGCACATGAAAATATTAGGGTTAATTACACCAAAACCCGCTCAAGTATCAATGAATATCACTTTTCCCACTCATTTATGAATCTATACATATTGTCCCCCCCAACTATAAAAATTGTGCAAATACACCCCATTTGGAGGGGGTGAAAGTGATACAATTTTATAGTTTAAGGGGTCAAAGTGTACGAGTTCATAGAAGAGGGGGGTAAAGTGATATTCATTGATAGTTGAGGGGTCTTGATGTAATTAACCCAAAATATTATCTCATTTTCTATCTAATATGATTGCTTTCTTTTTTTCAATTTTTTATTGTTAGCTATGTTCTTGATGCAATGAGGGCTGCTAATGAGACAGATGCCTTATTAAGAAAGACATTATTGACCTCAAAGTAAGCACTAGTTTCCATTTTCATTTTAAAATTAAAAGGTCTGCAGCAGATTCATTTTCAGTTTCCTTAATTGAATATATGAGATTGTGGAAGATCGTATTACTTGAACTCCGTTGTTATCTAATTGCCATATTGTTTTACTTCTCTTAATTTTTAAATGATCAAGTAAAGACAACCTGCTTCAAGTAAAAATGGCAGCGTAGCTGTAACAGTGGGTGGGAATCAGTTGGGAAGAAATCTTTTAGGAAATAATGCAACAACTTGGACAAAGGTGGTGATGGAGATGTACCCGCCTGGATCATCTGTAAGGTAGGACTTGTACATTTTTTGTGTCTGTGTATCTTTACCCTGTACATGAAATCATGTCTGCAGGTCAACTGACATTAGCATCACAGAATAAACCAGTTGTTTGTGTTATGACTGATTTCAATTCAAGCTCATGGAATGATGGAATACTATCTTAAAAACTAGAGGATGGATACTGGTAGAAAGGGAGAAGGATAGTATTTTTCCAAGCTTACTCAAAAATTTAAATTTTTTGTTGTATGAGACGCAGGGGTGGAGGGAGGGGGGGTCAGAGGTGTCTCAGCCCCTCCAAACTTTTGAGAATCCCACTTTTATGTGAGGCCAAACCTCAAAAAAAATGTGTTCGCCTTGTCAAAAAATTTTGGTATTTCATGATGAAGAAGGTTGTTCGTAGAAGATATTAGGAAATGGGGGATGTGAAAATATTTTGGTGGAACCCAATGAAGTCTTATTTGGGGTTAGAATTGTAGGAAAAATATTGTATATGCTACACTTTGACTCTCTAGACATACTTATAATGCCAAGAATTGCAGAATGTGCATATATAGCTTTATCTGGTTTTTAACTAAAAAGAGAAGCTAGCATTGATTGGACCAACTAATCTGAGGGACCAATCCCACCGACCACTTGCGGTGGTTCCAATTAGAGCCAGGGCTTTGCCTTGTATGGATTGCCCCCAAAAAATTGTTTGCATCTAGGAGGTTTTGAACTTGAGACCTTGAAGGGAGCACACTCCTAGGCCTCAGGCCTTGACCACTAGGCCAACCCCTTGAGATTATGGGCTTAGAGCAATTTTGTAGCCTTTTTCTTTAGTTGGATCTCCTGGGGATGGAGGAGTTACTCCCAACCTGGTTCAATTTCTAGATTTTGTTGATTTAGCTTTGTAGTTTGTTCAACCTTCATCTCTGTCACATCCCCTTGGTGCCCTTTTTATAAAATTCTTCTTACTTACCAAAAAAATATATATACATGGATTTGAGGCGGAGGATGGAGATCATGGAAAAAATATAGGGGAGGTATATAAATCCATGTAGGATGTAAATCTCAATATGAAATGAAGAGAGAACTAAGGGGGTTTCTTGGTGAATGAGTTGAGTTGATGTGAAAGTAAACATGGCAGTGAAACTTTATATTGGTGAGATATTGTGTTTTGTATTAGGTTGCGTGGAGTGAGTTTGTTTTAATGGTAATTATCCCATCAATGTAGTGCTTTGTATGACATAGAACACTTGTTTAATTAGTCAATCAATATAGTATATATATGAAATGGAATATCTCTCACTAATAAAGTACTTGGTTTATTTGATGTACAGCAGTTACTTGACCAAATGTTATTGATAAAATTAGAAACGTAAGTACTTGTCAACTCATTTTGCAATCAACTTGGAACACTATTCTGTTGCTATCTGATAAATCTAGTTCGACCATGTTAACATAGTAATTAACCAAATTGAGTGTTGAACAGTTGAAGTTTTGTGTCATTGTCAGATCTAAAAAATGCTGTCTTATATTCTTTCTCCTCCCATGCCCCACACTCTTTTCACCTTTAGGTTGAATGATGGTATTTGAAATCATGTTATGCAATATTGTAGTAAACTAACACTATTTTGAGTGCAAATTAATGAAATTGAATATGAATTTTAAAGAAGTGTCAACTTTTTTGTTTTACAATAAATTCATATGAACAATATAGCAAAAGTTCTCATAATCAGGTTACAGTTACATGCAGTTTTGAATGACTAAACTTCCTTTTGGTTTTTGCAGATCTTGGACTTGCACCTACTGTAATATTGTGCAGGTAGTTTTCTCAAGTTTGTAGCATTATTTCATTTATGACACCTGAATCTGCTGTTATTAATTAATCTCCGAAATGCATAATCAATGTCACCAATGAAGATTGCTACAGTATCATTTCAACATGAGGGGAAAAAGGGGAAAAAGGGGAAAACTGTATGATCTAAGACCAATTTTCTTTCTTTCTTTCTTTCTTTATTTCATGGCATTGTGAGAGAATGAGAGGTATGCTTTTTCAGTATCTGTTGCCTATTGGCAAGCATGCACATTATTTTTGAAGAAACAAAGCAAAAGAAACACCTTGTTAACAGACTAGAAAAACTGGGGAATGAGAAATAACTCTACAGAGACCACTTCATGGGTCACACGTTATGCATTTGGGTGGTGATCAATGCTAATTAACACATAAATTGTAACATTATTAATAAGAACATACCGTCACTGCAAGAGAAAAAAATTGCAAAATTTGATCCAATTCATCGCAATCGATTTGGACCCATTAATATCTTTGTCGTTTTGTGGAGTTTTGATACAATATGATATTGTTAGGAAAATTAATTTACAAGGCCAAAATATAAATTAGTTAACGACGGTCTTGAGAGATGACTTATGCAGGGTTTTTCCATTTAAAGATAGATGCATAAAGTTACTTAACGTTTTAAGTATAATTATGCGCGTGCTTCTACAAATTCCTTTGAAGCTGTTATGACAGTTTGCTAACATTTGAATTACTTCTGGTCATTGTTAATTCTGCATCTGTCGTCTGTAGCCCCCACGAACGAAGCATTGCCATGATTGTGACAAATGTGTTATTGAGTTTGATCATCATTGTGTTTGGCTTGGGACATGCATAGGCCAAGGCAACCATTGTCGATTTTGGTAAGTGTACATCCTTTTAGCTTGTTGTTTATTATTTATTGCTTACCGTTAATTACTCTCTCTAACCACCACCAGCAGGTGGTTGGGTAGTAAAGCGCTTGTACTTACTTGCTCAATGTTTGAGATTGAGTCGTGATTACCCCATGTTGCTGTGGGGAAGCCTTAGTGCTATATTCTCAGCTTACACAAGCTTACCCATCTTTTAGGTCAGAAAATGGAAAATAGTTAGTTTCTGTTTGCTTATAGTACATTGATACTTTACTTATCAAAATATATAACATATATATATGGTGGAAAAAGTTTAGTTATAAACCATGAATTATTGTCTTAGAATCCACAGACTTTTTTTTTTGGGTCAGAACATTTGGTAAGCTCAATACATTAGCATGCCCTCTGGGAAGTAATTTATCAATATAAAATGATGTTTGCAAATCCAAAAAAGTATCAGTTGATGCATACTGAAAATTGGAGTCAACAATTATTAATTTCACTGTTTGTTTCTCTTATTTATGTACCCACAAAAAAGGTTAGTTTTTCTCATGAAGAGTCTTTTGTTGATCGTAAATTTTTGCCCCCTAAAGTTTCAGTTTTACTTTTGTGGATGAAGTAACACATGGTTTGAATTCGATTCTCTTTCTGCTTAATTATTATTGAATTAATTGAAGTATATCATTTTGTGCTTATCAGTTACGGTGTCGCATTAGTATGTTTACTGGAAGTAGGTATCTGGTTGATTCTAATGTGTGTGTGCGTACATGTATGGATGGAGTTATCATTTTCCAGTACAGAACAACATGGTTGGAATTGGATACTTCAAATTATTTTGAAAAAATACTTGCTTAAAAAATAATTATTTCATACCTTAATTTTTCTTGTACAGTTCCTTGTTTGATAACTACTTCCAAAAGAGAGGGAGGCTCTTATCTGGTGGCACAACTAGATAACTTACCTAAAAGTTACAGAACGAACTTATCTTAATTGCCACTATCATAGTTATGTTTTGATGTCTATTATTATTGTGGAGTTCTACATTTCAGTGTGTTCGGTATGTTGCAGAGACGGTTCTCTTTGAACTTTGTAATCGAACCAACAATAAAAATGAATAACAGGAGACATGCCCTCTTTCATTTTTGTTTTCATGCACTTTTAATTGCATTTTCTAAACCATTTCCTGATCAATAATGTTCCCTGTTTCTTTATATATATTCAGGTGGTACATATGTGAGGAAACAGCGTTGTGCCTTTGGACTGGCGTATTGTACATTACATATCTAGAGAATAATATATCAAAGACGTGGTATGCATCTTTCTAGGAGCTTTATATCAGTTTAGAAAATTTAACATGTTGCTTTGGTTAAATACCCCCAACAACCAAAAAAAAAAAAAAAAAAAAAAAGAAAAAGGAAAAAGAAAAAAGGAGCTAATGTGTTACAATTATGGCGAACTTTTTTGGTCAGCAGGAACTTGGCAATCTTTGTAATATCTTAGCTTGTTAAAACCCTCTTGTCATTTACATTTTTAACCAAAGCTAAGGTTAGATTCTGAAATGGATTATTTTCAGGTGGATAGATGTAATCATGATCTTGCTGTTGATTACTTTATCAATTTGGTTTATCTTTCTGGTCCTCCTCCTCCTTTTTCATAGGTAAGAATTATCATTTCCTTGAGGTTGTGACTCTTTTTCCCCTGGACATCATATTTTGATTTAATGTTATTCATTAGTGAAATTTTGCTTCAAATTGTTGTACCCATGGGAATCAGAATGTACGAGTATTTAATTCCATATTGCTTGGTGTTACTGAATTTTTGGTCTGTGTGCATGATAAATTTGTGGACTCTTGATAAAGGTAGCTATGTCAGTTCAGTTGATTTTACGAGGATGGTATTGCCATATTCAGGCATGCAATGTTTGTCTTGAATAAATGATAATATTGAATCTGTTCACAAAAGAAAATATAGCACTTTTGTGTGCATGTGTAATTGTTTGTGTTTGTGTGGTTGTATTATTTTCTCATGAATTTCTTTTCCTGGAATTAATTAAGGTGGGACCCCATAGTTTTTTGAAAGAACATTTTGTTGCTTTCATTAAACAATCATCAAATTCAGTGGGGAACCACCAAATTTCTCTAATTCTGATGCCTTTTTTATTTTTATGACAGCTATCTTGTGCTAACAAATCAAACTACATATGAACTTGTAAGACGACGGCGCATCCCATATCTAAGGTCAGTTTTTATTTTGATTTCAATTTACATTGTTAAAATAAGGGTAAGAACTAAGAACTCATATTATCATGATGCGTGCATTTACTCATTAAGAAAAAAAAAAAAAAAATTGGAAATAAAAATCACAATATACCAGAACAATTCCATAAGCCAATTTGATCCAGAATGGAAAATGTAAAGAACAAATCTTTAGTCCACTGTTGTCAAATTGTAGTTTTGCTAAAATAGTGAATCATGAATTATAAGATTAACTTTGCTTTGCATAATATATAAGTAAATGGTAAATATATATACCTATAAATCCACGTATGACAATATAATTAATTTCTCTTCTTTTTTTTTTTTTTTTTTTTTTTGTAAAAAGGACACTTGCATACATTATACAAACAGAACTGAATTGTGGTGAAATGCAATTGAATCGTGAAATTCACTCAAGTTAAGATTTAACAATATGAACCGAATTGTTTTGGTTGAAACTCATATCGAATTGTATGACTTGAATTGTTAATTGTGAGCAGCTTCTAATATCCATGCTTTAATCAAACCCCTTTCATTTGCTAAAGATGGCAAGGCTCAGATTGTAGGACAACCTGTTCAACAAATCTCATCTAATTTGACTAAGTAGTTGCTTTGGTGAACATGCCGGCCTTGTGCACTTGTGACACACCTTTCGAAGCACTTTCTAATGCGCACTTTAGTTTGAGAATGTGTCGTTCAGCTTCACGATAAGTAGTAAAGGAAATACAAAGAGAAAGGACGTGGAGTAGGTTAATATGTATGTATAGGTGCTTTAGTTTTAGAATGCGTCGTTCAGCCTCACGAGTCCAAGATGAGCTTGGGTAAGTAGTAAAAGAAATACAAAGAGAAAGTACATGGAGTAGATTAATGTGTGTTTGTATAGGTTTTTTGACCTATTTTGGTTAAAACTTTTGCATTAATCTGCAGGGGGATCCCTGAAAGAGAGTATCCCTTCAGTATAAAGGAGCATGCAGAAATTTGTACAACTTTTGCTCCCCAAGAAGCAGCAAATACAGTTTGGAGCCGCTGCCAACAGCACAGGAGATTGAAGCAAAGTCAAAACCTTACACGTGCATGGATGTTTTATCTTGTCGTTGCTGTTGTGTATAGTTTGCCTCGTTGTATTATCCATCAGCATTTCATATTTTTTTTATACCTATAGTTTGTTGTGATCCTCTCATTGGAGTGTATGTATCCATGTGTTTGATTCATTTATCTGGAAGGCATCAAAAATATTTTGCTTCTGTTTGTGGGTTGCATAAGTTTGTCCTTGAGAGGGTTTTTGATCTAACTGGTTTTTCATGTGCTTGGAATTCAGGGCATTTTCTGACTTCTGTGCTCCCAAATCATTCTGATTGTTTCAGTATACCCGACTATTGTCGAATTTTTATTTTGATCCCTGAATTCATTATTGTAAGAGTCAACTTTACCTTTTAAGTTAAATTTTAATGTCATATTTTTGTCCATTTGGCATCAATGAGCCTAATGAAGATTGACATATAAGCCGCGTGATAATTTTTTGGGAGCATATATGAATAATCAATCATCTTCTCGTCTTACTAGTACGAGAATTCTAAATATATCAATTTAATTTCCCTCCAGACCCACCACATGCATTGTAATCCTTAGAACTTAGTGAGAAACACGTGTGCATGTGGATTTAGAGGGGAATGTGGGAGCCTCTAATCCATCCCATAAAACTTATTCAACACCTCATTTCCCATATTTTTTTAATACAGTCAAATTACCAAGTGGACAAAATTCTGAAATTCATTTCACCTTCCTCTCCTTTCGGCTATCATTGGCACCAGCCCCCTTCGAACCTGTCCAACTCCCGCCACCGCACCCTAGCCCCTCGCGAACCTCTCCAACTCCCACTGCTACATCCTAGCCCCTCTCCACCCCCTTTGAACCTCTCCAACTCCCACTGCCACCCCTAGCCCATCACCGCCTGTTGCAACCACCCAACCTTGCCACCTGCCACCCACTCAAGAGGTGGCAAAGGTGAGCCAATAGTGAATGTGGCTAGGGTGGGCAGCTGGAGTAAGATTGGTATTAATTGGGGTGTTAACAAAAAAAAAAATAAATAAATAAATAATTGGGATGAAATGTCTTGAGAAATGAGATGCCCAGCCAATTTTTTGAGTGCATTTAGATGCACCTGTGAAATTTGTTGACTGTATTTAGAAGCTTCCCATTAGCATACATACATTTTTACCAAATCTCACTTTGATTCGTCTAGTTCTAATTGTATCCTCTAAAAAAGAAAAAAGAAAAAAGAAAAAAGAAAAAATTCATGTGTGGCTCACATGCTAGTTTTCTGTAGTTTCATTAACGCCTAACGTTTAGAATGATAACATTACAAGGTGTATCACATTGAAAGTGGTTCAATCAAAATAAAATATTTGATACAAATGCAGGATGCCAAATGTAATTTATCCGAGGGTAATTTTTCATACTGATACAATATAAGATGATTTGTTTAGCAGAAAGTAACAAAAAATAGGCAAAATCTCTCAGAGCAATCATGTTCTTCAACAGCCATTTTCCCCATATTTCATATCAAGGCTGTTAAAACATTTCTACTTTATACAAATTTTATTTGGTTTTCCGAAAAATGGGAGAAAATCGAATTATAACAAAAAAAAATGGCATAACGCCACCTCAACTAATTGGCCATGAGAAAGCAAAGGCCAACCTGTACTGTACAAATAAAAGAATGAAGCCAGCTGAACTCGGCACGTTCATTTCCTCCCAGTCTTCCATTTTTTGATAGGAAAAACAGTTACTTTTCTGCTGGGAGTGTAAGATCCAACCTCTGTTCGTCGTAACACGGAAATGGCAGGTTGATGCTGACTGTTGTAATCCTTTTCATCAGTCAATGGTTTCACCTCAAATGCACCCCTTGTAAAACCTCTAGCAACCTGAACAACAACCAAAGCTTGAAACAACATATGGCATGCAGTTGAATGTTAATTAATGACCTTGACCACATAAAACAACACCCCAACTGTAAGCCAGTGCATGGATTTTCACTTGCAAAATACTAACCAACTACCATCATACATAAAACAATGCTCTGATGTATACATCAATTTAGGTAGCAATGTGTATTCCGTGGAATTACAGCTGAAAATGCACATACTTATTAGTTACACCTATGGAAGCATGGTGGAAACCATGTGTAGGTGTTTGCACTGTGTCTTATGGTTTTGTCATTTTGTAATAAATTGAGTGCGAGTGTGATAGCACATAAGTAAATAGTGTCGTGTGAATAATGTTTTGTCGTCTAGCGTTGGCTGATAGACAAACCCATATAATCTCCATACTAGTTATTGTAGTAGTTTGTCTGATAAGGCTCCCTCTTGCTTATACAAGGAGTTCGGGTGTATATTGTATCTTCATACTGGTACAGAGTAGTAAAAATTTATTTAATATATGATGCTTCCCTCTTTGTGATTATATCTCTTTCGTGGTTACAAATCTATATGAATTGGATAAAGGTCAATACCTTAATATGTTATCAATTTTCTCATATTTCACACAAAAGGAACTGGTAAAGTGATTCCCATGTTTAAGGAAAGGAAAATAAAATGTGCAAAGGCATATTGACTGTTAATTTGACTCTCTGAAGTGGGTTGCTGAAAAATAAGGCGACAGTGGTACTCAAATGATTCAACATGCATAAGTTGGATTGAACATACCTTCAAAAGAATCCAAACTTTAAGAGAGCTACTCAAGACTGCAAGTCTTGTTCTTTTCCCAGAAGTTAAGTAATTGCACATGTAGCGATCAACCCGCAGTATAAATCTTGGCCATGATTTAGGGTTTTCAGGGTCTGCTTTTTGGTTCATCATTGCCTGACACAAATGGATAATTATCAGTATCATAATGAAGCACTAGAGGCACAGAACTATGAATAAATAGGTAAGAGAAGTGAAGCGTGTTGCTGGGAGTCGTAAAATAACTTCAGAGAGAGAGAGAGAGAGAGAGAGGGAGGGAGGGAGGGTGAAACATTGGAATTCCAAGGAGGAATTCAGAAACAAAGTTTCAAATACAAAAATGCCTTTCAAAGTGCAATAGAACAGTAAATTCAGAATAAGTTCCCTTTCATCAACAACAATCATGATCAATCAACAGTTTATAAGTTGTTGACCTTCATATTTCAAAGTCATATAACAAATGAAGTGATAAATTCCTTGAAACCAGAGAAATTACTCACAAGCAGCCGGCAAATTTCATGCTCGATTTTGGAAAATGAGGTCTCCAAAGCTTCCACTCTTCCAGTAGCATGACAGCAATTGCATGGTTCACTAATCATAAATGTCACGCTAGGTCTAACCTGTCAAGTGTGGTGGCAACAGCTTGTTACGAAAGGTAAACGTTGCTATGTAGTCAGCTATCTTGGTACAACAGTTATACATTTCACTTTGGTGATATATTACAAAAGCTAACTACAGATGCATACCCACCTTTAATCAACATCTTGCAATGAAAATATTCATATTACTGTGTTCAGAACTACCTGAAAATTAACACCAAGAGAAAGAATTTTGAGAAACAAACAACATACCCTCTTTCTGGTGATTTCCATAAGGCCATGCCTAGACAATTCAGAGACTTTCACAGTTGATCGATCTCTCTCCACAGCCTTTTTAACTTCTTCATATACCAGTCTCTTATTCACTGGAAGATGAGATTGGTGTCAGAAGAACAAATTAACACACAAAACCTACTTGAACCTAAATTTTAGTTTCCTTTATGTTTATTTCAATACCCATTTCTTTAATTATAAAAATCCAGCAGGGATTGCCGGAGGGAGTGTGGGGCTTTGCGGCTGCGGCGGCGATGGCGGGGCCGAGGTGGCTGACGGAGGAGGAAGCGGCAGTTCAGGTTGTCTCGGAGCCGGAGCTGGAGGAGGTGAATCAGACGGTTCACAGTCGCCGGAATCTGGCCGGAAAAGTTGTTGTGAGACAGATCGAGTCAGTACAGACGAAACAGAGATGTGCCGGAGTCCGGAAACTCGTCGGAAAACTGGTTGGGCAATGATGGGAAGGTATGTGTAGAAAATTCTAGCGGATTATTTTGAGGTCCGGCGGACGGCTAAGGTGAGGTTGCCGCCCGCCGGTGAAGCGAAAATAATAGGTTCTAAACCTGCTCTGATACCATGTTAAAATTGATGTATTTATTGATTGATCTGTGTTATTGATGTGTATCTATTACAATTACAAGGATTCCTATTATATAGGAGTGTGTTTGGGAGTAGGTGGAGAGTAGGTGAAGTGGAGGTGGTAGTGGTGTAGTGGGTTAGGTTTAGTGGAGTAGGTGAGGTGGTAGTGGTGGTAGGTTTATGGTAAATTCTAACAGTTTCAAATACAAAAATGCCTTTCAAAGTGCAATAGAACAGTAAATTCAGAATACGTTCCCTTTCATCAACAACAATCATGATCAATCAACAGTTTATAAGTTGTTGACCTTCATCTTTCGAAGTCATATAACAAACGAAGTGATAAATTCCTTGAAACCAGAGAAATCACTCACAAGCAGCCGGCAAATTTCATGCTCGATTTTGGAAAATGAGGTCTCCAAAGCTTCCACTCTTCCAGTAGCATGACAGCAATTGCATGGTTCACTAATCATAAATGTCACGCTAGGTCTAACCTGTCAAGTGTGGTGGCAACAGCTTGTTACGAAAGGTAAACGTTGCTATGTAGTCAGCTATCTTGGTACAACAGTTATACATTTCACTTTGGTGATATATTACAAAAGCTAACTACAGATGCATACCCACCTTTAATCAACATCTTGCAATGAAAATATTCATATTACTGTGTTCAGAACTACCTGAAAATTAACACCAAGAGAAAGAATTTTGAGAAACAAACAACATACCCTCTTTCTGGTGATTTCCATAAGGCCATGCCTAGACAATTCAGAGACTTTCACAGTTGATCGATCTCTCTCCACAGCCTTTTTAACTTCTTCATATACCAGTCTCTTATTCACTGGAAGATGAGATTGGTGTCAGAAGAACAAATTAACACACAAAACCTACTTGAACCTAAATTTTAGTTTCCTTTATGTTTATTTCAATACCCATTTCTTTAATTATAAAAATTAGAATTTAGAAGGCACAGAATACACAGATGGAAAATAGAATTATATCCAGAAAAATGGTAATTGGAACCCAGTTCCACTGTAAACCAGGAAAATCAAAACAAGGAATATCAATTTTCCTTTTTATGTGTATATGTTAATGTTACACATCATGATCGAAGAAAAACCATACGTTGAAGCAGCAGGCATTTAGCAATATTGAGAGAGAGAGAGAGAGAGAGAGAGAGAGATTTCTTACCATCATCCACCATATCAATGAAATCTACCACAATAATGCCACCAATATCTCTCAGCCGTAATTCTCTAGCAATCTGAAAAAGTTAATTTTGTTAGTGAATCATTTGAGTGACCCACAAGCACCACAAAAAACTACAAATCTATTCATAGAATTACTCCATGACAAGGATGATAGTAACAGCAGCAGCCTAAAGTAATGAAATAAAACATGGCTGAACGAAGCTGTCAGTGTGGTATGGTGTCCTTTCAAGGATTGGTGTGTTCTATTCTCCAATATGGTGAGAAAATCTAAAACACAGTTTCCATAGAAACATCAAGATTCACAACAAAGTCCTCATTTCCAACTATTCAAAATCTCATAAAAATTGTTTGAATACCCCATAAGCATCTTACTTCTGAAATATTCACTGGAACTTTTACTAAATGGGTTGATTTACATGAATAAGCTAGTACTCAAATTGGCAAAATCTGCTTAAAATGATCTAAGTGGGGAAACCTAACATTTTTTTTTTACTACAAAATATTTAATATGGTCAGTGGAAGGTAGTTTTAGAATTAGATTCAAGTATTAAAATTTTTTAATTTCAAAATTCAGTTACTTAAGATTTTCAGCACTATTAAATAAGCTACTTTGTTTTGTTAAACAACCCCATATTCTTAATCAATGGAAAATTTACCACAAATATAAATGGGTGATATAATTTAGTTTCTACATACTTGTTTGGCAGCGGCAAGGTTGACATCGAGAATGGCTTTCTCTTGTGATGTTCCCTGACCAAGCATGCATTGTCCACCATTCACATCAATAGAGACTAATGCCTCAGTTTGCTCAATCACAAGATAACCTCCATTAGCAAGAGAAACCCTGAAATAAAAGAAATGTGATCTGCTCAGCACTAAAGAGTCAAAGATCTTAAATTCAACATCTCAGTTTAGCAAGAACAAAGACGAATTTTGGGCAATGATTAAATCGGATTTAAAAGAATATTGCATAGGCCAAGGAAAACAAAAATAAGTCAATCTTCTGTTTTAAGTATGAGATATAAACTTAATACTCAACTGACACTGAAGGATGTCCAAGTTGGGCCTACCCTATTGAGATTTCATTAATTTATCAGGCTCTTACCTCCAAGATCTTTTCTTGGTTTTCTTCATTTGGTGAATAGCCTAGCGTTATACAAAGAAGCCAAAACTTTTGAGCAAAACCATATGAATACAAAGTGTAAACAAAACAAAAACAGTATAAACATTACACTATGAGAGCATGGGACCTTTACAAAAGAGCGACACTCCTAAAGCTGTAGGAGGATGCCCAAGAAAAAACCTGCAAGTACGTTGAGGCTGTTTTGGAATGTTCAACAACATGCAATACTTGTCTTGCAATGTTTAACAACCTTCTGACGCTGCACCAGTAAGGAGTAATATGATTTAAGGGTGTCATTACACAATAATTTTTGTATTCATTGATCCATTTTTACATTCTTACTTTCTTACCAAAACAAGAAAAAGAAAAAAGAGTAACAAGATTTTAGAGTGTAATGCGGGGAGAGAAGAATAGCATGAAGGTCATAGGGTGAGGCACTGATAATGCATCTAATTTTAGCAGTAGGATTGTCAAACAGAATTCCTGCAACCACACCAAACAGCTTTGGATTAAGGCATTTCAGAGTTGATTGATATTCATTTTTTTTTTCTGTTTCTATTGGGGGAGTGAAGGAATTTATTACTTGGTTTTCCTTGTTGCATTAAATTTTATCCTCCCTCGTCTTTTCTTGTCGTGCTGCTGACGACTCATTTTATGTTTGAATTTCTAATGCAAGTTATCCCCTTTTAAAAAAATACAAAGTGTTTTAGGTAATTGACAAATAAGAAAAAGTGTTTGAGGGGTATTTTAACTTGATAAGAAATTCACTTCAAATATATCCAAGCCTTTTTTAACTAAATTATATTTATTTGTTTACATATTTATTTATTTCTAATCAACTAAAATAAAGACTGAACCCTTGACCTCATTACTTCCTTTTAGATATCATGCCAGCTCTTTTCACACTGCTGAAATAGCTTTCGCAGCTTAAGTAGATTACATCTATGCTCTCAATATAGCAACCATGACCACATCTATATTAGATCATGCATTCATAAGTACATTCATTCAAATGAACTTAGCAGTAATAATCATTTTCATTAACAAATAAATTTTTTCCATAATAGACATGATGCATTATAACTAATAGATAATAGCTATCTTGCAGTGCAACTCAAAGCAACAAATGAAAAAGAAAAGCAATACTTTGCTGTTTCTAACCTTTTACTGAGCATGTTGCTTATCTCTTCCTCGATATTATATTCATCAAAAAGGGGAGTTCTTTTGTTGTATAACTCAATTCGATCACAAAGATCAGGAGCTATTTCTTGAAGATAGTTGGTAACCTGAAGATAAAACATGGCATAAGTTAACATTTTGTCATTGGCAGTGGAAAAAATTTTAATTCATAAATGCAAGTTTGATCTGTCTGATTCTTTACCCAATGTGTAAAAAAGGTCGTCCCCTTTCATAGACTTAATGCATTATTTAACTGGTGTTTACTGCATAACTACACATAACGATTACCACCTTCCATTTGCTTGTAAACTGAACAATTAATAATATTTATCTTCTCAATCCTCAATATTGCAAGGCCAACATTATTAGGCCAGCTGTTATCCATTACAAGATGTCTTCTCAGTGGAAAAATCCAACCAGTGAATCAAAGACGAGTTATTGTGAAAACCTAACAGGAACTTGGGATGAGTTGCCACTCCCTACACTTCCTGAATACAAACTGAACATGCTACTAAGTTTGGGAATTACTACAAATTGTTCATTTAATCAAATTGAAAGCTCAGACCAAGCACCTAGAAAGAAAGTTAGTTTGATAAACATGATACTTTGGCAAGCCTAAGCATCTAGAATAGATTTTACTGCAACATTGACTGTACATTTGTTGGGAAAAAATTAAGATCATGGACTAATATTTTAGAAGCAACAACAAATTGATTCTGAGCCAGTTCACCTCCAGAGTGGATTCAAAGTGGTTTTGACTACGTCACGTTGAGCTTCCATATTCATCCTTCAGCATGACAATTGATCATATCAACCCAAAATCTAGTTGACAATAGTGTAATATTTTTAGTCATTTTGTGGTTGGAATTTGTACTTAACCTATGTTGGTTTATCTGCATTCAATACATGTGCAGCAGCTATAACCACAAACGAAAGAGGAAAGAAACAAAAGAGAACAAATTTACAGTCATTGTATGCTCACTGATTTTAATCACTTTTCTACCCTAGATTTCTTCGATGTGGCACTCTTGACCATCCCTAATTGCAACATTGCTCATGTACAATTGGTGGGAAGAAAGACCTAATACTTTCTCTGAGCACGCTGAAATCTGAAGACAAACAATTCTTTCCTGATTAAACAGTAACTTCATTCCCCTGATGTTTGACAAAGGTCATACCTCGTGATATGTCCTTGGAGAATCAACGACCATGCTCTTAACCTGAAGGAAAGCCATATTAAAGACAAAAACAAATTGAATCACATTCAATAACACAATTAAGGAAATCTACTGTTTGAAACTCCTAATTTGGAAAGAAAAAAAAATGTTAGGTGGCATGGTTTAACAAAAGACTGGTTAACTAGAGAATGTGTTCACCTTCTCGTTGAAATAATCCTGGGCGACAGATAGTGTTTGACCCATTGCCCTGTGCAACAAAAATGGAATTGCCCCTTCCACACCTTCATCTGCAGCAAGGGCAGCAGATTTTGCATTCTCCATTATATCTTTCCAAGTTGAAAGCAAGCCTTCCAAGTCCTTCTGCAATTCATCCAAGGAACGACCAGCAGCAACAGTCCTTACAGTCAGACCAAAACCTTGAGGTTGCAAAGTTTTTGCAATGACTCTCAAGCGTGTGCGTTCAACACCAGAAATTTTCTTTGAAATCCCAATTCTATTGCAACGAGTACTCAAGACCTGAGAGCCAGAGGATGGTCAAAACAAATCGATGGGTTCTGATCAACAAGAAAGACAAACAAGACGGTAAGAATTGAGAGTAACGAAAAAGAAATACCCAGAATCTGCTCCTTAATTTTGGATAAGCAGTCAGTGTGGGGCCCTTTGTACCTAATCCTTCTTTAACGACTTGTGCAACGATTTTAGTGCCTTTTCGAACTTGGCCCCACTTGTTTTCATCTGCACTTGCTTCCTTATGAACTTTTTTCACATCATGGAGATGAGAAGGTAGTGAATTGTCAGAACATCCTTCCACATTGCGCATGTTCCCATCTAACTGATCTAAATGGCCATCAAAATCAGCTTCGACCTCACCATGACCAAGTAGACTACCATTAACATTTTCCTTAAGATCTTCTTGAATATCAATGTCCTCATCAATGTCATCCTCCACATACTCATCGTGCAAGTATTCCACTAAATCACCATCAATTTCATCATCGTCAATCTCATCTATCACTTCAACATCATGTGAATTGTTTTGAATCTCATCAGCACCTGGCTGCTCATCAGGTATGACAAATGCAGAGCCATTTACTTGTTTTTCCTTTTTACAACGACGAAACGGAGGGAATATGAATGGTTCCCTAATATGCTTTATGTCCATAAGAGAGGGTCTTGGACTCCCAATATTTACAAATGCACCACCCATATGGGGAACAAATTTTGTAACTACGCCAAGATATACACTATCGCAATGCACATTATTTTTAACGGGTTCCAGTAATAACTCAACCAATTTTCCATCTTCCAACAGAGCAATCCTTTGCATGGTACATATAGAAGAGTTAATCAATATAACCGTAGAAACAAAATCCTCATGAGAAATTGCTTTACTCTCTTCTGCAGTCAATAAATTTTCTGTGACTTGGTGATGCTGATCATAAAATTTGGCGTGAGTTTCCTCATCTTTAACAGATTCTTTATTGGAAACCACCTTGGCATTAGACTCAAATAGCCAAGGCTCCTCAACAGGCTGGTCCCACTCACAGAAAGTTCTGCAAGGACCATATACATTATCAATAGAACTTAATGAATCCTCACCTTTAGAGTAGGGTTGAACCTTTGATACGGACTGATCAAAGGACTCTGTCTCTAAAGAGTCACTATTATCGTGCTGTAAAACCCTGTCTTCATCTGTCAAACCAATGGAAGCATTCGAGTGTGCAGCATAATGAGAGAGGAGACAAGAGTGGAGTAGCCAGGGCTCCTCAACAGGTTGGTCTCTATCAGAGAATGCTCTATCAATATCCGAGCCCTCATAAATTGCAGTATCTGTATCCTTAGTGTATAATTCAGAATTGACTGTGAGATCACTTAAAAATTGCTTCGACACCAAAGAATCACTTCTAAAGCATTTCAGAATCTTGTCATTATCTGTCAAACCACTGGAAGTATTTGAGTGTTAAGAAACATATCAAGAAAGGACCTTAATACAAAGAAATGCTGTCACAAAAATAATACCTCTGGCTGGAGGTGATACAAAAGGTCCCAGCCCATAAGCTGGGGACCTTTTGGCATGAAATCTCATCCATGAATCCATCACCATGATTTTTCTATATTGCTTTCCAGGTAGAGGTATTGAAACAGAAAATTCAGGCCTGAGTCTCCGAAGTGTATCACACGAAGGTGACATATCTCCCTTTATGAAACGATTACACTTGAAATTCCCCCAATGACGTATCTGCCGAGACCATTAAGTCAATAGGTCAGTAGCTACATGATAAATTAAATTAACTTAATCCCAATAGTAAATGATAAATTACATTATCTTAATCCCAGTAGCTACATGTATTTCCATCTCAAATAATATAAATGAGCTTTAGTCTACTCTCTCTTCAATAAAATTAAATGTATATATATTGATGGAAAACAATTTTCAAAATCACTTACTCAATTGACTGATGATGACCTGTTCTACTGTCAATCCAACCACATTTCAAGAATTATCAATATAAACATTTGCTTATCTACAGCTGGATGATATTACCTTGACTTCTGAATTCCATAAGTTAGCATGGTCTGTTGGAGACATGAGAACAGCCATCTCAGAGCCTATCTTATAAGAATATTGATACAAAGAAGCCAACCATCAGCAAGATCAACTTCTCTAGCCCCACGTATTCAACATGATTCTTTTTGGATAGCAGTCAAGTCAACAGAGAAGTGACGAAGTGCCAAATCCATTAGCCATTCTATGTAAGAGAACAAAATTTCTGAGTATATAGTGTAAAACACTAACATCTACACCCCAAAAAATTATAATAATGATAATAGTAGGGGAAATGCTACAATGTGTGCACATTGTAAGAAAAGTTAGATTTTTGTGACAAAAGTTACGGTTTTTGGGATGGAAGTGACTATTTTTGGGATGAAAGTTACGATTGGTGAAGTTATGATGTGCACCGTAAAAGTAATGTTTTTTGTGAGAAGCAAAAAATTATAAAAAAAAAATAGAGTTATTTTTTGTGATAAGTTACACATTTTGTGATAAAATCATAAATTTTACATAAGGTGATAAAAAGTTATTCATTTTGTGATAAAAATCATACCATATGCACCGTTTTTGGGGTGCAGATAGTAGCCTTTCCCTAATAGTAGACATCCAAAAAGAATAAAAGTAAATATCAAATAGACAAAGGAAAGCTTTTTCACGAAACAAGTCAAATAGTGTCAAAGTTAAGAGCGCAATTCCAATGCGTGGTATCTTTTGCATTATTATAGCCTACTTAATTCGTTGTAATACCGTTTTGATTGAAATGGGTGAAGAGAATTGTATTGGGTATTATCTTTTTCTACAAAAACTGAAGTTATTGAAAAATAAAAATAAAAAGGTACAAGCAATAACACAAACACATGGTGTTCAATGACAGCGCTGAACACAAAAGGCATTCCAGCAATTACTGTGCAGAACCTAAACATTCTATCAATAACCCAAATCAATTAAAAGTAAAAGGGGTAAAGTTATCAAGGCCAATTCATTACATGAAATAACACAAACTTCACAAAGTGCAATCAAACAGAGTGACAGAGAATGGTTAGGAAATCAGAGTCGGGGAAAAAATTCTTTGTTTGTGGTAATAGAAACAGAGGAAGAGTACCTGTTGGAGCTGCGAGAATGGTTACGAGTGTGGTATTAAAGTGCTCTCAATTTACGTCTCCGTACTCCATAGAAGCTAGCTCTACGAGGAAAGTCGAAAGATAAGGAAGACATATATATATATATATATATACGGGATTAATCTTTACGAGGGGCGGTTTTGCTGCTGTTGGCCACCGTGCGGTTGGGTACTGTGACTAATTACAAAAGAATACCACAATACAAATTTACAAATCTTATCCCCAAAAATAAAAAATAAAAAAATAAGGGGGAAATAATATGCCAGTGGCCCTTTAAAAAAATTAATTACAAACTACCGCCAACAAGTTGGCCTGGTGGATGTAATTTGGAACCTAGAGATATGCTTTGCAGTGGGTTGACCTAATGGGTGTAACTTGGAATTTAAAGATATACTCCATCTAGGTTTCAAGTTTAACTCCATTGAGGAGCACTCCGCTCCTTGAGACCACATTTGCAGATTCTACCTGAGATTTGTCAGATCCATGTGGAAATAACGTTTTGTGTGTATTTCGGGATTAGTCGAGATGCACGTAAACTGGTCCAGACACTCAGTTATCAAAAAATTAATTACAAACTCATAATAAAATTTATGATTTTATCTTTTAATATTTATAAAGTTTACTACTAATTTGAAAATATTTTTCTATATATATACTGCAATGAAATTATCCCAAAAATAAAAAATATGGGGATGTGAATTCAAAGTGTCATTATTGTGAAAGGCATTAATTAGTAATAAAAATTTATGTAATTTGTTGGTTTGTATAACATTTTTCATTATGATATTATTTAAAAATCAATCCAATCATTGTTTTTTATTAATATTAATTTTAGATTTAACTATTAGATTTTAAATCAATTTTATCCCGCGTCTATAATTAAACAAAAATTGTTGATATGACACTGAAATTTCATTTTACCTCCTAAATTATCCCAAAATCTCAATTAGACACTTAAATATATAAAAAATAAATTTAAATAATAATTGAAAATCTTAAAAACTTGAGATAATGATTTGTAACTAGGATTCAATTTTAGGAATGAATAACAATCCCCAATTAAACAATCATAGATCTAATTCAATCAAATAAGAATCAAATTATACCTACAACCAAGTAACAACAAATTGACACATAAAAAAAACACAATTAGAGCACCTTCATCTGTGATAAAAAAAAATCACAGGTCAAAATCACAAAAAAATCACTAAGAAGACAAAGGAATTACACACGAAAAATCTCAATTACGTAATGAATCCACGCCCAAATTGAACCAAACCCGTTATGCCTTTTCTACCATCTTCTTTATCTTGGAATTGCTTTGCCCAATATTGAATCCACAATGCCGATATCGAATCCATGACGATGAGTTACTCTAGAATCTACCAAAACTTCAGGCTTAAGTTTCTTAGAATCTACCGATGAACATCTCTCTATGAATTTGTATTAAACGAAAGAAACCCCTTGATAATAGTCAATATGAAACTGGTTGATCTATCAATCACCCTCAATTCATCAAGGAAAACAATATATAAACACTCTCTAATATAGAACATTTTAATTTATCTTCTCTCTAAGAATTCTAGATGGGTTAAACCCTAAAACGAGCAATTGAGGCACTTTATAACAAATAGGGATATGAAGACCACTCAAACGCAAGAATGATCGCTCGAGAAGTGAGACTGGTAAGGCGGTACTTCACATGTCACATCGCTCAAGTGCAAGACTTACTGCTCAAGCGGTAAAACACAACTTTCAATATCTCTTAAATCAGATTGAGATACTAGATGATCCAAATCAACATTCGAGCATACACCTCGAGTGGTCTAAGAAGTTTGACTGACTTAATAAGTTCTTTGCTCCTACTTAAGTACACCTTTCCTTCCACACAAACTCCTCTATTCAGGTACAAATTGGGTTGAATTCGCATCTAAACTCCCACAAACTCACAGATACAAAAGAGTGAAATCAACATTTAAATGGAGTTTTATCAAAAGAATAATGCTTGGGACCCCCTTTTGGGGGTCACCCCCTCACCCCCTTTGCCACGTGGCAGGTGGTGATTGGAGGAGCAGGAAAAAAAAGAAAAAGAAAATGTAACCAATGAGAGAGAGAGGGGGTCAAAGGAGATGGGGGGAAAAGGGAGGATGAATCATTGTTGTTATCAAAAGGGATTGCCAACTACAAAATGCCTAACAATAATAATTTTCCTTCTTTGGTACTTGACAAATGTTGTTTCTCTCATAATATGTATGGTGTAAATTTTTACCCACAATTTTCAAGCTATTATCATCAATCCTATTAAAATTAGTTTGAGAGATAAGCTAGTTACAATTGCTAAGAGAAAGAGAGTAGACTCATAAGTTGGGGCTCAATTAGTTTCTCTACAGCCGATGCAAGACAATTTGAGATTTAAAGCGACAATTTTAAATGACATATATGTTTAAATAAATTTTTTATTATAAAATTTACTATTTAAAATTTATTTTTTTCTTGTTTTTTCAGATGGAAATTATTATTAAATATTTAAATATATATATATAGGGGTCTAATTAATATTTCAAGAATAGTTATGGAAATTAAATTAAGTTTCAATGTCACGTCAACAATTTCCATTTAATTATAGACGACGGAGAATAACAAAAATAAAATTAATTTAAAATCAAATAGTTTAAGTATAAAATTAATATTGTTAAAAAAATATGATTTAAATTATTTTTTAAGTGATAACTTCGAGTGCAAAATGAAATTCCTCCATAAAAGTTTGGGCACTGATAATTTGCTGGACGTGTTGATATTTGTTAAAAATGGTTTAGAAATTCTGGGTAAAAACAGAATTTTTTCCTAACTTTGGTCTATTATTTAAGTGGGACCTATACACCAAAGTTGGCGGGTTGAAGTGGTAACGCGTTCTATGCCACGTTGTGATTCACGTGGTATATTTAGTTGTTCAAAACCATTATCGAGTGAATGGGAAATTGAAACCAAAGTGTGCTCCATGGAAATAGAGTTTTGGTAGAAAATCGATAAAGGTTTGAAAAATGGTTTGTCCCACATTGATTTGGTAGGAAGTTTTGAGTGGATTTATAAGGCATAGGATTGGAACTTGGGGTGTGCCTCAAGGGGTACCCAAGTTTTGTAGAGAGTGAGGTTATGGTCAAAATGGGCTAGACCCATTGGACCCAAAAATCATCGCGCCCGTCGTCACCGTCTGTCCGGGCGTGAGTGCGTAGTGTGAGGTTGGGTTGGGCTTGTCCGGCAAAAAACATTTGAATTCAATTTTATTTTTTAGAAAAATAAAATTTGTCCAATTTAAATTTCAATTTTTTGAATTCAAAATTGGGTCCGTTTTTCTCTCACCCGAACAGAATTGAATCTGTTTAAAATTCAGAAAACCCGGACAGATTTAAATCTGGGCAAAACAGTTTTATTTGTTTGAATTTTGAACCCAGCAGATTTAAATTCGTTCATTCAAAACAAAACAGGTTTCATACATGTTCAAAACAGGTTTGCACCTGTTTAATTCAAAACCAGCAGCCACCAATCCATCTATAAATAGGCAGCCCTCACTACAACAAAAAGCATTTTTAGTGACGTTTTTTTAGCAACCAAACTGAAATTAGTCGCCAATTTTATATAATTAGTGACAATATACTTGTTGGTTGCCAAAAAATAAACTATTGGCGACAAGTTGAGATTTTTAGTCGCCAAAAGGTTTGGCGCCAACTTAAATTTCAATGCAGGAGTGCTAAAAAAATTTTCGCGACCAAATTAATATATGGCGATGAAAGTTTTGGTTGCCGATTGTAATTTTTTGGCGACATAAACAAAATAGTTGCGGAAAAGGTGAACGATATTTATGGCGACTGAAGGATTTTCGTCGCCAATAAATAGGCTATCGAAACTACGTCCTTTTGCATTTGTACTTTTATTTTATTTTATTTTTTTTAAGTTTTGACTGACCCTTTTGGTGAATAAACAAATAAGACCTAGGCATTGTTCATCTCATTCTCTCCGTCCACAGCCTCAAGCGGCACACAAACACAGAGGTATGTATTCTCTCCCTCTCCCTCTCACTCTCTCCCGCCGCCTCCTTCTCTTTTTCTACTTTGTCGTTAGTTTCATTATCTTGTTTTGCATTTTAGAATTAGAGCTTGTTGCTTTTTCTTCTTCTTCTCTCTTCCTCTCGCTCTTTCGCGCCACCGACTGAGCGCCACCGACGGCATTCCCTCAAACAGTGCTTCCCCTTTGTCTTCCTTTCTCACAGCGCTGGTCGCTACCTCCTTATCTTCTCTCTCTCTGATATTTTGAATTTATGGGACTGATTTTGGGACTGCAATTCTACATAGAAGACTGATTTTGGGACTGTCTTTCTGAATATATAATAAATAAAAGACTACAATGTATATACATATATGAGTAGAGAGAGGGAGAGAGAGTGGAATGGAATAAAAAAAGAACGGATTCTGAGAGGGACAAGGGAGTAGCAGGAAGAGGAGTGGGAAGGTAGTTTGTTTTTCTATTTGTGTTTTTGTTTTTGTGTGTTTTGTTTGTTAATCGGTAACAAACAAATTGACAAAGGAAATGTTCTCCACTTCCTCGCAACAACAACAACAACAACAAGGGCTTGCACAATTACAACTTGTACTAGTATTATTTTAAATTGCAATATATTTTTGGGACATTTTTTTTACAAATTTTATATGCCCAATTTTATGACCCATTTTCTCCCAATAATAGTTTAATGTTTGTGTTATAATAGTATTTATATTTATAACAGCACAGAATAATATATACATTATTGAATAATAATGTGAATATTCATATTGTTAATGTGAAGATTGGGATTGCGATTCATAGGATTGCAATTTTAATTCTTGAGATTTGTCTATATAGATATTCTCAATTAACCATTGCAAATAAAGATCTTTGGGAAAGTAAATACTGCTTGCAATTTAGTTTTGGAAATTCCTTAGGAACTTTTTTTACTGAATCAAATCCATCATTGTAGCTTATGGAAAGATTAATCTTCCAATGATTTTATGTCACATAAACTTCTCATAACATATATGATATATATGTTATATGTTAACATATATCTGTAATATCATAAGAGGCTTGAATGGGAAAGCAGGATTAGCCTTGATAAGTTTCGACTAGGAATCATAGATGACAGTGCTCATGACCCCAAAAACAAGAGAAAATAATAAAAAGAAGGGAGGTATATCATAAATGATAGAATTGTTCTTGGAGGTGTCCGGTTGTCCTTTGGAGATCGTGATGCCCCAATTTTTGTCTCAGAAGCCATTGTGTTTCTTTTGATTGGATTGATCTTGTTGATCTTGCAACTGGTTGTGAAGATATTGCCCTGTGTCTTCTTCTAGTCCTGGTTCTTCATTTGTTTTAAAAAAAAAAAACAAATTCTCACCATCTTGTGCTTTATTCTTACATATATGAAATTAGTAGAAAATTTTTATTAAGTTATTAAATTATTCATGACTTTTTAGGTGGCTACAGAGAGTGTCGATGTCATAATTCAAGATGACAACTTTTCCACAATTCCAACTGTGGCCAAATGTGGACGTTCGGTATACATAAACAATCAAAAATTTGTTCTGTTTCAGCTGACAGTCAACGTGGTTGCCCTAATTGTCAACTTTTCTTCAACTTGTTTGAGAGGCAAAGCAATCCCGACCTTAATCACCCTCTATATCCAATTTCATTAAACATCATGTTTCTTATAATACTATCCTTTTGGGGCAACTGAACCTCCTAATGACGACTTAATGAAGCGACAAACCGTTGGAAGGAAAGGAAACTTCATTAGTAACGTTATGTGGAGGAATATTTTGGGGCAGTCATTATATCAGTTTTATCATACTTTGGTATCTTCAGACATCAGGAAAAACAGTCTTTCATATTGAAGGCCCAGATTCTGATCTGATTCTAAACACACTTATTTTCAACACGTTTGTCTTTTGTCACGTAACTTCTAATTTTTTTAAAATTTATTTAGATGATGTTTTCTGTAATGAATAATATCCTTCTGATTTGTGCATTCACTACTATAATTGTTAGCAATGTTGTTTCCATAAATTAAATTGATACTAACGCTTCTTTTACCCTTTGTTAAGCCCCGTTGATGGCCATTATTGATAGTGCAAAGACAATTCATTCTTCAAAACTGACCAAATCCCTTTTTGATGTGATTTTACCCTTAATAAATGAACTTGAAGGTTAAGTTATTGATGGTGTTATTTATTTATTTTCAAATATAGCATGATAGATGGCTTTAGCTGTATTTGAGTGAAAGTGTGCAACTTTTCATTCATGAAAACATAAATTTGTTTTTCTGATCTGGGTAATGATTGGCTGATCTAAAATATCTAATTGTGAGCGTTGTTTGAATCAAAATCCATAAATCCCAATGATTTCTTCAAAAGACAAATTAATTTACCAAACATGTTTGCGACTTGTGACATAATGCCTTTTTTTTTTCTTTTTTTTTTCCCCTGCAGGTTTTCAATGAGATAAGCTCCAGAGATATGGAAAAGATAAACGTCTTCAAAGGTATACTGAACAACTATGTATTTGTGGCGGTGCTCGCTTGCATGGTCCTCTTTCAAATTATTATCATCGAATTTCTAGGTACTTTTGCAAACACTTATCCTCTCACTTTGCATCTATGGTTTGTGAGCATTTCTCTCAGATTCCTTGGCATGCCTATTGTTGCTGCCTTAAAGATGATCCCTGTGGGATCTTCATAAAACTCAGGCGAAGCAAACAGATACTTCCCACTTGCCCCCAATATCACAGTAGTAGGGAGCATCACAGCCGCCAATTGTATTTCTCATACAATAAAGTTGCAGCCAAGCAAATTTGAAGGCTGAAGAAGATCTACCACACAACATACATTGCTGAAAAAGTTTCATACTTCTGTAAGCATCTTTTGGGCTTAATATTAAAGTTACTTTCAAGTATGCTAACAAAACACTAGGAAATTTTTGTTGACTAGTTTGGCTTCTTAAAGTTACTTTTAGGTGTGCTAACATTAGAAATGGATTTGCTCCCCATGTTTACGCTTATTTGAATTTTTTTTTTTGAGGGGGGTGGGTGGGTGTTGTGTGTCTTATTTACAGTGTTATTCATGTGTTTGTTCAATGTCACACACACACACACACACACACACACACAGGAATAGCACTGTAGGAACAAACAGGACCTCAATTGGATTTTCGATTAGAAAATTAGAAGGAAAATTGTAAAACACAAGACCTAAAAGGCCCGTTCGGGGGGCGAAATTGTAAAATGACCACCGAAACCGCCAAAACTTAGCACGGGCAACTTGCTCAAGACTAAATAAACTTGTATGAGCAAACGGCACCTCGATTGGACTTCCCGTTACAAAATTAAAATCAAAATCATGAAATTCATATCGAGTTTTTTTTTCAATCTAATATTGTTTTTTCTTTTTCATGTGACAGATTGGCAATGGTGGAAAATAGTTCGGGTTGCATCAGAAGATTTGATTTTATGTTTTTAGAAATATTTTGACATAGGATTTTGATAAATGAGTTATAGATTAGATGTTTAGCATCAAAATATTTGGTGTTGTATTTTTGCAAATATTTTGACATCGGATTTTGGTAAATGACTTGTGGGTTAGATGTTTAGCATCAAAATATTTGGTTTTGTGTTTTGAAAAATATTTTGACATAGGATTTGGTAATGGATTTGTGGGTTTGATGTTAATAGTGTGGTATGAATGTTTCAGATAGTTAGAGAATTGTAATTATGTTTGTTGGGATGTTTAATAGCTGTTAATTTTGAATTATTATGAATGTCTTGCACAGGTATATTACTATTTACATTGCATTTGTGTATATATTGTGTAGAGAAAAACAGGTGTTTTGGATTATTTTGAACAGGAAAATTATTAAAATTAAAATTTGTGCATTGAATTTTTAGTGACAGGTGACATTTTGGTCGTCGTTAATATAGTCATCGCTAAAAACATATTGTTTTTGTGACATTTGGTGACAACATATTGTTTTTGTCGCTAAAAGTTAGTGGCTACTCCAAGAACTTTTAGCAACCAAAATTTAGTCATCGCTAAAACTTGATTTTTAGTGAGCAAGTTAATTTTGTCGCTAAATAGTACTTTTGGCGACGCATTTATTTGTCGCTAAAACTACATAGCCTATTCAAATTTTAACCTTTTAGCGACAAATTATAATTTTACAGTGACAAAATATATGATTTTTGGTGACCAATTTTGCTTGTCGCTAAATGTCTACATACGGTGACAATTTATGATTTGGTTGCCAATACTTTTAGTGACAGGCCTTTGGCGACCAATTGTGTACTTGTCGCTGATTCTTTTGGCGATGAAATTTGTACTTTTGGTGACTAATTTTTTGGTCGCCAAATGTGCTTTTTGTTGTAATGCCTCATTTGATGTTTTCATTCAATAATTTCGTCCTAAATATTGTTTGCCTTCTTTGCATTTTTACTGCATTATTTTCCTTCTAAAAAAAAGTGTAAACACTTTAATGTGTTCATTGTTCAAATAAATTGTAGTGTTATATTTATTCATTAATAGATCATTTTATCCTGGGAGATAGACGTCCATATTCTGAAAGTATCGTGGAGAGGACGAATCTGTCTTAAAGACAAAGTGTCGAACACTGGACTTGATTAGAATATTATTCAAGAAATTAATCAAGAAAGTTGGTTATTTATTTACAGTTTATTTATTTATTTATTTAAATCAGATTTTGATTTTATTTTTGTAACAAAATAAAAATCTGTTTTATTTATTTTATTTTATTTTCGTGGTTTGATTTTTTTAATCAAACAAATTCTTTCATTTTCTTTATTTCTTCAGTATTCTGGTTGTTATTAAGTACACAACAAAATTTAATTTTTAAATACAGTGAAGATTGCCCAACAATCTTAAGACAGAATCTTTTTGTTTTTGTGTCTTCATTGTATTTAATTTTCTGTGTTTTCACAAAGTGATATTCTGGTTGGAAAATACAAATAGTATTTTAAACTATTTGACAGATAGTAGTAATATACTCTCTATTTTCTTTGACAACTAGTAGTTATATACTGGTGTCATTAATAATTGCAGAATATTATTTTGTGTTACAGAAAATTATTGTGGTATTTTATTTTCCTAGTTTTAGTAATAAGGAAAATAAAATTATTTTGTGTTATAATTTATTTTCTGGTTTTAGTAACTAGAAAATTAATTTGTGTTTTGGTATTTTTTTTTCTTGATTTTTGTAATAAGATATTATGGCTACTACAACTGAAACTACAACTGGAAGTGGTACTCCAATTGTTACACCAACTCCGGTTCCTATCTAGAACTATATTCAAGTACCAATAAATCATGGAGAAAAAGGGAAAAAATTTAACGGTACGGAGTTTAAGAGATGGCAGCAGAAGTTCTATCTTATAACTTTAAATTTGGCCCGGTTTCTTCGTGAAGAGGCTCCAACACTCAAAGAGAGTGAAAGTGATCGGTAAGTTGTTGCCGCTGTAGATGCTTGGAAACATTCAGTTTTCCTGTGCAGAAACTACATCCTCAATGGCCTTGACAACATGCTGTATAATGTTTACAACCCTCTGAAGTCAGCAAAAGAATTGTGGGATTCTTTGGAGAAGAAATACAAGACAGAGGATGCCGGCACAAAGAAATTTGTTGTCGGTAAATTTCTGAATTTTGTTATAGTAGACTCCTAAACGGTAATTTCTCAAGTTCAAAATTTTCAAATAACTTTGCATGATATTCATTCAGAAGGTATGTCTCTTAGCGAGTCTTTCCAAGTCGTTGTTGTAGTGGAAAAGTTACTACCGGCTTGGAAAGATTTCAAAAATTATTTAAAACATAAACGCAAGGAGATGACCATGGATGAATTGATTGTAAGATTGAGAATTGAGGAAGATAACCGAAAGGCTGAAAAGAGGAATGGGAAAAATCTCATTGAGTCCAAGGCTAATGTGGTTGAACAAGTTCACAAACCACATAACAAAAAGAGGAAGTTTACTGGAGATGGTCATAAACAAGGCGACAACAATAGCAAGAAGAAATTCAAAGGAAAATGCTATAACTGTGGCAAGACTGGATATCGAGCTTCTGACTACCGCCGCCCTAAGAAAGATCGCGGAAGTACAAGCAAGAAGACCACCAATCAAGCCAATGTGACAGAATTAGATTACATTTCTGATGGGGTAAATGACATCAATCTCTCTACTGTGGTGTTTGAGGCTAATTTGGTTAGAAATTCCAAGGAGTGGTAGGTTGACACTGGAGCAACTCGTCACATATGTGCGGACAAGAAGATGTTCACTACCTACAATGAGACTGTAAATGGTGAACAACTTTTCATGGGAAATTCTTCTATTTTTACTGTGACTGGACAAGGAAAGGTGATCTTGAAGATGACATCAGGGAAGGAATTGATCCTCAACAACGTACAGCATGTACCTGACATCCGGAAGAATTTGGTTTCTGGCTCTTTGTTAAGTAAAAATGGTTTTAAACTTGTATTTGAGTATGATAAATTTGTATTATCAAAAAGTGGTATGTATGTTGGTAAGGGATATATGAATGATGCTCTCTTCAAATTAAATATAATGACAGTTGTATCAAAATTTTGTAAAACCCAAGTTGTGTGTAGGATTATTTTATTGGATAGATTAGTAATTAAATTAACTTATATGAGTCATTTATTAATATCAAAGAATTAGTTATGAGATGGCATTATATTTCCTATTACTTAGATGTGTAATTTTGTAACTTTGAGAAATTAGGTTAATAAGCCAACCTATTGTGGCTTTAAGTCTTGGAAAACAAACAAAACAGAGGCTATGAATTGCTCCATAGGCGGCTAGGGTTTGAGAAGGTAAAAGAAAAAAAGAAAAGAAAAAGAGGAGCTGCAGAAAGGGTTTGGAAGAGTCAAAGGTGAAGGTAGCAAGCAAGGCTTTGGAAAAGTTTAAAATTAAAGAAAAGAAACCCAAACCAAGGAAGAGGGAGGATTCATAAGAGTGGTGGTTTTGCTTTATTCATCACTTAGGTAGGATTTATTTTATTGTATTTCTATCTATGATTTTAGTGTTAATATATCAATAGATGATTTTATGGGCATATATGATTAAATAGATATATTGATGTAGTCTATGTTGGGGTTCTCAATTTTGCTCAATTTTAGAGTGTATTTTGCATCCCATTTGGGTGGTTCATATTTTGAGATTGATATGTGATGGGTTAAGTTTAATGGTGGTGTATTTGTGGGATACACGATTGACTACAAGCAATTACAAATTGTTACGTGTATATAAACAACAATAGAATAATATGGATTGAGAATTTCCGAAACCGTGATGGCTTTGTTTTGATGCTAAATCGTGGGAGTTCCTAATAGACTATTGGGTTAATTTATTCTATTGTTGTTACAAGAAGAGATGGATGGGTGCACATAATAATTGTTTATGCGGTGTAATATTTTATTAGGTTTGTGAGATTGAGGTGGATCTTGGTAAATTGAGATTAGCTTGGAAAATATTATTTTAGCTGTTCGAAGGTAAGTAACCCTCTATCACTGTTGGTTCATTTTTATTCCTACTGAATCGTTTAAAATTATAAATATTTATTTATAGCTTTCATGTTCTCTTAAAATAAAATATGGGTCAAGTATAAAACAACATCGAATATTATTATGAAAGTTATTTGAATATTTTGTGAAACTATTCTGAAAATTGTACCAAATATTTATTCCGAAAATATCGAATATTTTATTTAAAAGTTGTGTATTGTTTGAATTTTGAACATCACTCTAGTCTGACTATGATTTGGACCCTAGCCAATGGGGGTTATTTATTGGCACAGAAACTAGTTTCTTTTGGGGCTTTACCACCGGCCTATGTGTGGTTCTGGGCCTTGTCACGGGCTAAGTGACCATAGTCATTAAGACTTTGGTTTTGTGAATCAAATCATTAAACCATCTGAATATCGAACCATCGATTTGAACAACGAATTTCCTTTGAATTATCTTGTTGGATTTTCAATTAAAATGTATTGTACATTGTTTATTTTTAGCTATGAAACTGTTTTACAAATAATTGTTCATTTATTGAACTGTAGAAAAAAAATTATATTTATTGGTTATCGATTTATTTATTTATTTTTGTATACTTGATCCAGCTAGCAGTGATGGTTGGCTATTTACTGGGCTATCTAGCTTACTCTTATTTTTTTTCAGATTCTGAAGAGTAGAGTTGCACGGGATCTTTTTTTTACATGTGGAAGTGCCGAGAGTAGGACCATGATTTAAGTACTTGGATTATTGTTTTGTTAGTGGATTAAATTAGTGGATTTGGTGGACATTTTCATTTGAGAACTATTTATTTTTATGGATTTTGGCATTATGACAATTAAGGATTTAATTTGAGTATTTTATTTTGTGGGTTATGTGATTGGATTCTTAGCTTTGCATGCTCACTTATATGAGTGTGCGGCGTTGTCACAGAGCTTGGGGCGTGACAATTTTATGGTATCAGAGCCAGGGTATAATTTTAAAGGCTGGTATAAAATAGTGGTGAGATTGGGTAGATGTAGTATTGGGAACGCTTATAATTTGATATAATGTTAATTTTATTTACATGTTATAGGGACTTGAGAATAGAATAAGTTGAGGTTTTATTATTGATGCATATAGGTTGCAATGGAACATGAGGAGACA